AAACCTCAAAGCAGCTTCAAAAGTTTCAGAGTGGCAAGATGCCATGACAGAAGAAATTAATGCCTTACATACACAGAAGACTTGGTCTTTGGTTCCATTACTACCTAACAAGAACCTAGTTGGTTGTAAATGGGTATACAAGATTAGGAGAGATGAAAATGGATCTGTTGCAAGGTATAAAGCAAGATTGGTGGCAAAGGGGTATAGTCAGGAAGAATGAATTGATTATGGAGAGACATTTAGCCATATGGTAAAGCCTACAACTATCAGGTTAATTCTAGCATTGGCTGTACAGTTCAATTGGCATCTTAGACAAATGGATGTGAAAAATGCATTTTTGCATGGAGTTCTTCATAATGAGGTGTATATGGAACAATCTCCCTAATTCCAAAGTTCAACACATCATTCCAACTATGTTTGCAAGTTACACAAGCCTTTATATGGCCTTAAATAGGCTCTAAGAGCCTGGAATGACAGGTTCACAAGTTCTTTACCAGGTTTGGGGTTCAACACTTCACAAGCTGATCCTTCTCTGTTTGTTCAGCATTTATTCAAAGGCATTGTGATTTTCCTGCTCTATGTTGATGATGTGAAACTTATTTGTAGCAGTTCTAAATTAATTTAATATGTAATTACATATCTCACAGCTGAATTTGATATGAAAGATTTGGGGCAACTGCATTATTTCTTGGGGTTGAAGATTAGTTACATAAGGGTTATTTGTGTCACAAACAAAGTACATCAATGAATTGATTAACAAGGTTGATTTACAAGATTGTAAGCCTTGTGCTACTCTATGTCTCCCATATCACATATTGCTTAACAATGATGGAAAGCCATATCATAGTCCTGATCAATACAGAAGCATTGTTGGAGCTCTTCAGTATCTCACATTTACAAGACCAAATATAGCATTCTTAGTGAATCAATCATGTCAATTCATGCACAAACCTATGGAATCACATGTTTTTGTAGTCAAAAGGATCATCAAATATCTCAAGGGCACTTCAAATCTTGGTATTCAATTTAAACCAAGACCAATACATCTTCAATCCTACAATGATACAGATTGGGCAGGTGATCCAAATGACAGAAGATCCACTTCAGGCTTTGTTATCTATCTTGGTTCAAATCCAATTTATTGGGCATCAAATAAGTAGCACATAGTTTCAAGGTCTTCCACAAAAGTTGAGTACAAAGCTTTAGGAATCACAGTTGCAGAACTAGCTTGGATTAGATAGTTGTTTTGTGATTTACATGTTGATATTCATCTACCTCTAGTCATATATTGTGACAATATCTTAGCAATAGCTCTCTCAACAAATCCAGTGTTTCATGCCAAGTCAAAATATATTGAGATAGACTATCACTTTGTGAGAGAAAGGGTCACCCGGGGAGATCTTCATGTACACCATGTTTCTTCTGCTGAGCAATCTGTAGATATACTTACAAAAGGCTTGTTAACACCCTTGTTTCAACAACGTTGTGGCAATCTTATGCTCAATTCACTTGAGCATACGATTAAAGGGGGATAAGGATCCAAGTGAAGAGGTTAATCCAAGTGAAGAGCATGGTTAAATAAGATGACACTTGTCAATAGATTAATGAGTGATGGGTTGTTACAAGTTAGTTGAGATAAGGAGCAGAGTTAGTTGTTTAGCTAAATATTAGCTAAGTAAGGAAGAGCTATATAACAACCATTGTAATCATAACTTGGCTATCAAGAAATCAAAATAGAGTTTCACTTTCTTTCTCTTTTTTCTCTCTCTCTCTCTTTTGAATTCTCTCCCTCTCTATTTTTCTGCATTTTGTGAACCTCTCAAAGAACAAATTCATCAATATTAACACCTATTCACCCATTACATATGCACAATCGACCAAACCACATGTAGCTACCCAATTATTAAATTTGTCATAGTGTACAAGAATTTGGTTTTTGTTTTCACTAAGTTCGTGATAGTGTCGCAGTTCATAATTCAATAACATATAGCTAGGATTTTGTATTCGTACTGGCTCCAGTATACTCGATATACTCTCCCCAAGTTCAACTAAAGGGCTAACATATATATTAACTTCTATACATATGCAGTTGATGTGGCAAAATGAGGTAACATTATAGATGGTGTAAAAACCTTCGGATGGGGACACAGATACTGGCATGGATATGGACACGGATATGGACATGGACATGAACATGACCATGGATACGGACATTGGCCGTAGTCTCAAGTAGTAGTTACCGATGAAGGGAATAATCAAAAACAGTAGAGGACTATGTAAACACAAAAATTCTGTATCGAATGAAACGAGAACACGTGTATAAAGTAGATTTGTATTGATTTGAATTTGTAGGTTACAATCTTTGTTTACAACTTTTCCTCTGATTCAATCTTCAAATTTGATGTAGATGCGTAGGTTGTTGATCCAAGGGTCGTGATGACTTGATCTTGGATGAACGATTGAACGATTGCTTCAAGTTTTAAGCTTGAAACAACGCTTGGATGGTCTTCATCTCAAAGTTGCAGCAAAGGTGACGTTGATACGGGATTTCGTTAATTCAAGGGTCTTGGCGACTTGATCTTGAATCAAACGTCGTTACAAGTTTTGAGCTTGCAATAAAGTCTTGAAGGAATCGGCACAAATGCTTATTGATTCTTCAAGGGAATGCTTCAGCTTTGGTCGAAAGAAAGCTTCGGCTTTGGTTGTGAGTTCTTCGAAGAGAGCTTTGGCAACATATTAGTCTTCAAAGATTTGTGCAGAGGTTCTTCTGAATGTAGGATTTTCTACCCTAAATGTAGAAATTCTCGACCTTATGCTTGTCTAAGGACCTTTATTTATAGACTTCCAAAGACAAACCTTTGGGTGGATTTGACTTCCAAAGACAAACCTTTGGGTGGATTTGGCTTTGATTTGTGTCTTGATTCGTCCACGGGAAAATTTAAGCATATTTTGTGTCTTAATTTCAGCCATTTTCCCTTGCTTGGCTGAATTATAGGGCTTTCTTGCCTATTTTGTGAGCAATCTTCAATTCTTCTTTATTTTGTGAAGATGCCTTGGCTTTCTTTCCAGTTTTGAGAGATTTTGGGCCCGTTGCCGATTTTAAGGGGATTTTCTCCCTTTTGCCGAATTTTGGGAATTTTTTACACTTGCTTTGCTTGATTTGTGTCATATACATGTCATTAATGACTTGTCCATTTGTGATGAGTCACATGCCACGTGGAACTTTGTGATGCATCATTTGTATGCAACGAAATTTACATGTCTACAGACAATTCTGTAACAAAGCAGCATGAAGGATATGGAGGCTGGGGAGCAGGTGGTTGTGGTGGCAGAGGTTGGGGATGAGGGGGACGTGGTAGTGGAGGTGGCTGGGGAGGAGGGGGACATGGTGGTGGCGAAGGTTGGGGAGGTGGGGGACGTCGTGGTGGTGGTGGATATGGGAAGGATGATAGCTACGGTCGAGGCGGTGGCGGAGGAAACTGAAACCATATGCCTAGATATACTGCGTTGTAGGAAAATATGAATAAGCTTCATGCATATATATGAATGTATATGCAGGGCCGTCTCTGAGATTTCGGGAGTCTTGTGCGAAATTTATAAAAGGGCCCATTTTTAAGATAGTTTTTATTTTTTTAAAAGTAAGACAATATATTGGTACTAGAAAATAATAAATTAAATCAAAACAACCTTTAGAACTTACTGATTGTAAGTTTACAAATGTCATTAAATAAGTAAAAAGAGTTACAAACATAACTTTCACTAAATAATAAATAACAATTCAATCTTAAGCAACCAAATAAAGAAAAAAAAAAGCTTCAAAAACTCTAACTCTAAAGTTTCACTTGAATATATAGCATTATTTTATAATAAAATTGAAAAGAAAATCGTTTTTTAAGGTGTTGTTATTGGCACTTCTACTATCTCATTGTGCACTTCAAATTTTTATATTTAGAAAGAAGAAAATTTACTTATAAAAAGTACACTATAAGATTTTAAAGTACTAATAAAAGTATATTTTTAATATATAACAATATTACATATAAATATAAGATACCAAAAATTTTTGGGGGCCTTTCAAATTTGGAGGCCCTGTACGATTGCACCTTTCGCTCTCCCTCAACGCTGCCTCTGTGTATATGTATGCATGGGATCACGTACGTATGTAATGTTCTGCACTTTGTACTCATGATCCGCTATGTTAAATGAAGCATTACATATAATATAGCATTCTTTCTAATGTTTTGCTTTTCTATGTGCTATATGCTGATGGAATCATATAATTAAACGTCTTTCGAATATAAATTAATTCGTACAAAACAATTTCACCTTACATTCAATTTTCTTAATTAGTTCAAAATTGCCACCACCTTCAGGCTTCGAAAGGAAATATCAGTTCAGTGTTTAATGGGATTCATGCAGTGAAACTCGACTACATTACAAATAAATTTAAAAAATAACGATGAAATTACAATTGCTGCAGTTCTTTAACATTTTAAGGGAAAAAGAAGAATGAAAAAACGATAGTACACTAATAACAAAAGTAGACAACCAGTGCATGCACAAAATAAATGGATCACCCTTAATTTTTAGGCTTCATAAAATGATGTGGCCGCTTCAACTTTTGACAACCTGGTTTGGAAAAAAATATATGAACAAAGAAAAAAGAAAGTTTACGTTTTCTCATCTCTTCTTTTTGGTTGCAATGAAAAAGGTCAAGTTTCGGCAGTGAAGCAGACGCAAGATGAATGAACGGAATCTAGTAGTGCAATTCACATGTTTTATGAGAAGCCCGATATTCGGCTTCGGTGGGTGATCTGTTTGTGAAGCCCAATGAGTCAATGACTTCACGTTTTTATTTTCAAAGTATTGTACAAGTATTAAGTTTGAAAATTCATCGAAGTAAAAATGCTTGTTATGACTATAAATCTCACATCTGTTGAACAACTAGGAAATTATTAACTGCAAGGGCCAAACTTGGACGAGTAAACTATTGCAACCCTCCTACAATGTCTACGAAACGATGAGGGTATCTGATAATGGTTCTCTATATCCTAATACAATTATAATCCTATAAGTTCAGCTAAGTCTATTACTCAATAAATTCAGCTAAGTCTATTATAATTATAAGTTACTCAAGTTGTTGAATTGCTTGAATATTCCTAGTCTTTCTGCAATAACAGACTGAACACAAATTAAGTCTTGAAAACTCTGTGAACTCGGGAGGCCACATGCCAACACAAAACCCTCTCTGCTGAGCTCAATCTATACACGTGTCTCTTTTTACACTCTTTCGATCCAGATGAAGTGATAACTGAGACATGCACATGCACAAAGCCTATGTGCCAACCATTTCAGTAGCCAAGTACCTATCTGAGTGTTCAGATCTCTGTTCTCATCCCATCTACCCAATTTAATCAATGGCGGTTTCGTATTTTACTACCTCCACCTGCAATATAAATAAAGCCAAGCAAAAGCCTGGAAAAAACATTGGAGTTCTCAAAGATTTCCATCCATAGAGACATTTCCTTCTGAGTGTGGTTTTGTGAGTATTATGTTTGTGAAGAAAAAAATGAATAGTTTCCCGCGCCTGCAGCTGCTTGTGCTCGTTCTCATTTTTTCTTGTGTGGCTGCTCAAGTAGTGCCTCAGGATCATGAGACCAAAGGTTTTGTTCTTTCATTTATTCGGTTTAACATTCACAGCTGCTTGAAATGTCTCGCATCATAAAATGTCTCGCATTAGAAGCTTTACAAACTTTGCAGACTAATTAATACGTAATTTGAACTATTTTTCGTACAACTAATTATTTTTATGGTGGAACTTACACTAACAGTATTTTAGTATCCTCTTTTCAAGATTTTCAAACACCAAATCCAATTTATTACATTTCTTACTCCATGTTTATATTTGATGAATAAGTGAAAAGAAAAAACAAAAATAAAATAAAATAAAAGAAGATGGTTATAAAATTCTAGTGTAAAAATGGTTATGCAAGATGATTGGCAGAAGTTGATTATTGCATGATGTAAATAATTTTTTTCTTAAGAAAAATATTCTCATGGTTAATTCCTAAATTGCATGCATATTTGGGGTTTTAAATACTAGTTCACTGATCAGGTTTTAAATACTAGTTCACTGATCAGTACATATATGACTTGAGCAGGAAATGGGGAAGACAAGACGGTAGACGATTGCATTCCTTACGAGGGCTTCGGTCGACGTGGTAGGTGTGCTAGTTACGCTGCTAACCCTAAAATTGAAGAAGCCACACTAGAAACACGTAAGTAAACATCTGTCTTGTGAAATTTTATTTCCCATTATTATAGTATTTGGATTAATTTTATCTGTTTCAATGCTTAAAACAAGATGATCATATTATTGCAATGAATTTCATTTGTTCAGAGGACATTGACCATCACCGCCCTGGGCACGGTGGGCATGGAGGTGAAAATGGTGTTCAAACTATCAGTGGTGGAGGACAAGAAGGGGGTCAAGTTGGTGGTGGTACTGGATATGGAGGAGGCCAAGGGGGTGAAAAAGGCGGAGGTGGAGGTGGATACGGTGGCGGTGGACAAGGCGGTGGACAAGGAGGAGGTCAAGGAGGTAGCCACAGCGGTGGACAAGGTGGTGGTAAAGGACGCGGCCAACAAGGAGGTGGTCAAGGAGGCAGCCATGGAGGTGGACAAGGTGGTGGTAAAGGAGGAGGTGGTGGTGGTGGACAAGGCGGTGGAAAAGGCGGTGGCGGTGGAGGAGGGGGTAGTGGACATGGAGGCGGAAAAGGTGGCGGTGGACAAGGAGGAGGTGGCGGTGGCCAAGGTGGTGGAAAAGGAGGCGGTGGTGGCCAAGGTGGTGGTAGAGGAGGAGGTGGCCAAGGTGGTGGCGGACAAGGAGGAGGAGGTGGTGGATATGGTGGTGGGGGTAAGGGCGGTGGCAGTCAAGGACAAGGAGGAGGTAAAGGAGGAGGTGGCAGTGGTCATGGAGGTGGAAAAGGTGGAGGTGGAAGCGGTGGTGGTCAAGGACAAGGAGGTGATAAAGGAGGAGGTGGTAGCGGCCATGGAGGTGGAAAAGGTGGAGGCGGAGGTGGAAGTGGTGGCCAAGGAGGTGGTCAAGGCGGTGGATATGTTGGTGGCAGTGGAGGCGGTAAGGGACAAGGAGGTGGTAAAGGAGGAGCTGGCAGCAGCCATGGAGGTGGAAAAGGTGGAGGCGGAGGTGGTAAAGGCGGTGGTGGAAATGGTGGACAAGGAGGTGGTAAAGGTGGAGGTGGTGGTGGCTATGGTGGAGGTGGTAAAGGTGGTGGTAGTGGCGGGCATCAAGGTGGACAAGGAGGAGGTAAAGGGGGCGGTGGTGGCGGATATGGTGGTGGCAGTGGTGGAGGTGGTCAAGGCGGTGGATATGTTGGTGGCAGTGGAGGCGGTAAGGGACAAGGAGGTGGTAAAGGAGGAGCTGGCAGCAGCCATGGAGGTGGAAAAGGTGGAGGCGGAGGTGGTAAAGGCGGTGGTGGAAATGGTGGACAAGGAGGTGGTAAAGGTGGAGGTGGTGGTGGCTATGGTGGAGGTGGTAAAGGTGGTGGTAGTGGCGGGCATCAAGGTGGACAAGGAGGAGGTAAAGGGGGCGGTGGTGGCGGATATGGTGGTGGCAGTGGTGGAGGTGGTGGCTACGGTAGTGGCAGCAATGGTAGCCATGGCGGTGGTTATTAATTCTAGCCATAGAAAGGAAACTGAAGTGATCCACCAAATCAGGGTGTATGCATGTTGAGTGTTGAGGAAAACATGAGTATGCTGCGTTTGTGGGTTCTTGTGTGTATGTATGTTCCATAGTCGATATATATATATATATATAGAGAGAGAGAGAGGGAGAGGGGGGGGGAGAGAGAGAAAGAGAGGGGAATCCTTTCACAAAAGGGATCTCCATCTTTCTAAAAAAATAAGAACACCCTCTTGATTGTTGGATTTGATTTGATTTTAATGAAATTGTGTAGTTGAAATTGATGATTTAATCTCAATCACACAATTTCATTAAAACTAATCCAACGGTTAAGAGAATATCTTCATTTTTTTTTTAAAATAAAGATCTCTCTTGTTAAAGGGCCTGTGTGTGTATACATATAATATGAACATATGTATTAACATGTTTGCACCGACCTGAACATATGTATTTACATGTTTGCACCGACTTTCTTTTATATATATACATATATATATATATATATAATATGAACATATGTATTTTAACATGTTTGCACCGACCTTCTTATAACCTCAAATGATGTATGCTTAAATGGTGCCACGCTCGACTAGTGACACTCAAGTTATTTCCCAACATTCATAATATCAACGATAGAGTATAAACTGCATACAATTATGAAGGGCAAGGTTATAAATTCTGCAGTTCAATACCATGCGTTAGTAAAAATAGATTAATGAGTGAAATAACAGCAAAGTTTGTACTGGGAATTAAAGAGAATGATACAGAGGATATTAATGAGATTTGGATGATTCAGTCCCCATCTAAATAAAATGTTGCAAGTTGAGTATAATTGAATCGTTTATTCCACTATTAGCTTTGTTACAAGGATAAGATTCCTTTAAACTACTCTTATTGGCTTATACTTCTCTTTGATCCACCCTTTAAAGCTAATTAAATTGTTAATAAATTGTTATACATTATTTTCAAAGATGGGTTGGTGCACATATAATTTGGGAATCATGTCGGTGCTTCTTAGCCCAACCATGCATGCATATTCATAACATTTTACTGTTGACATGCACATGCATAAACAATAAGTCAATTTTGGTCCTCTTGCTTTAAGAGACAAACGGATCTCTTGTATGATATAAACCATCATCACGTCGACTTAACCCCCAAAAATTGAAACGTACTAAATCTTACACATCCGAGAATTCAAAACTTTATGGAAAACATCGAGATATATACATCTTGGTTACCTTTGTTTTCTTTGTCAACAACTACACGTGCCTTACTTTCACTTTACAAGGAAAATTGATGGTCAAGAGCGAACAGTGTTATGGGTGCGTAATTGATTATGCCCAAATATGCAATAATAACAATCAAAGAATTATTCACCACCACCGAGACTATTGCCACATCTTCTTTCTATTGATATTGTTCTACACCATCACTACCAACCTATGTAGCAACATCACCTATATTTTCAAATTTATGGTGCAATTGCTAGTGCGACCATGCATGTAACAGGGAGCAACATGCCAAAGGAGACTTAATGTGCCAGTCCTTTTGCTCGCATGAGGACAAATCGAGAAAAATAAACACATGAGATTAAACACTTCGTTGCAAAGCAAATTTGGACGTTTTTGGGCCATAAATAAAATAAGACATGTTATGGGGCTAATATATTTTTGTTCACACAAAGTTATACGACTCCGGTCCACCAACTTCTGAGGCCCATCAAGAATTCTATCCTAGAGCTTGGACGACACCCACTTCACTTCACACGTCTGATGGCTAGGACTCAACCTTCCTCGAAGCGCACCTACCACATAGATAATCAAATTCGAGAATATCTTGCCTCCTTAAATGTCAATGAACACGTCATCCAAAGAGGTTAATATCACCGCATCAATTGTACAAAATGCCATAGGACACAGTTGATAGCCACCAACCAAGAATAGTAGTTATGTTCAACGTCAAATGATCGATCTACCCCTCCGCCAATTTAGCAATAAGATCAAGGTTGCTCCTTCTCCACTACCTATAAATAGAGTTAAAAACCTTCAAGATGAGGACCTTTGTCAAAATCAATCTTTACGATTATACAAACCTCAAGTGATTCTCCAATTAATCAACCTAACTGCTTTTCAGCACAACCCAAATTGTTCTTCAATAAAACGTCTAGTTTTTCTAGTACAATCTCAAAGCCTTCCTTCAAAGCGAACACTGCCTACGATCCTTGAAATGTAAAACTTTTACAACTCTGTCACCACTGGTATGATTTGGTTGATGTGCAATTCCAACCACCATGATCACCTATTTGATCTCAATGTTTCCTTTTTAGTCCAGTCCAATACCAGTGACCTCGATGGACTCCTCGAGCATTATCTTGGCCTACATGCCTGAATCTTGCTAGAGTTTAATGTTTTCTTAACATTTTCAAGTCTATTTACTTTTCAAGTCATGTAGATTGGCTCATCAACCTAGAATTACTTTTATAGACGTTTGTAATCTCGATTACATCAAAAAATGATTACATCTAGTTCCCTCCCTTTATTTTCATTTCTACTTTCATTTTTAGTTATTACTTAGGCATGCACTTATTTTGCATTGGCTTTAAGTCATCGTTCACTCAAGGCATAAAAAAGAACTTAACGGAACCATCGGTCTCAATTGGTGCACAATCATTTGGTCAAGAAGTTAGATCAACGCACAAGCATAACACAATTCTATACACACTATTGTTTGTTGGCAACCTCCAACAGTGGAGCATCTATTCTCTTTTTCTCTCAAACCATCTCGTAACACTGAAATCGAAAAACAACATTTAAGACAAATAAGTGTTGAACCCAGTCAAGCTCTGACTTTTGATACTATTAGGACGTGCCAAAACACAAATTTATGGGCTTGGTAGAAATAAGGAGAGAAACTGACAGTACATTTTTTTCAACGGTGCAGTTACAGCCAAGTGTGGCATGTGACGAGCCTTATACGGATGCTTCCTCTCCCATCTCGTCGTTCTGTACAAAGGTTTGAATTGCAATCACCCACCCTCTGATCTCCATTTTTTAAAGGAGTTGGTTGGTGCCATTAATTTGACCCTGTTGTCATTGCCCATTCTGAAGAGTGATGACAAAAGATTGTTAAAGGTTTTGTCTCAGCTCTACCACACCCTAGTAGTCAACTTATGTAATTTAAGTTCAATTGACGAAGTGTTAATTATGTCTGATTGTGACTTATTAACTACAATAAGAAAAATTATCCGTGGGGCATATGTTCTCTAACTCACTCATTTTTATTGATCAGCTTGCTATTTAGTTAAAAGACGTTAGGCGCTAGTCGGACGGCGAGTTGGGGCCTAGCGCCTAAGCGGCTAGGTGGGGTCTAGGCGGGCGCCTAGGCGGACTAGACGGATTTAACTAAATCTATTATATTTCATGTAAATAAATGTATGTTTATACTTAAAATATATATAATTTCATCATAAACTACAAAATAGAATGACACATATATTATGAAGTATTGGAACATAATGAAAACATAGGGAACAAACATATAATGTGTGCTCATTTAAGTATTTGACAAGTTTCTTACAATTTATTGAAAAAAAATAAAATGCAAAATGAAAGTTATCTATTTTTTGCCTAAGTGAGTCGATGCCTAAACAGGTCTGGGCGGGCATCTCAGTAGGTCTATGGGCCCTTTCTTAATTTTCAGACGCCTAGGCAATAATCGGGACAGTAACCAACCACCTAGCACCTAGACAGGGCCTAGGCGGCGCTAAGCAGGGATTTTTAGAACAGTGATTATGGGAATGTGAATAATGTCCGAGATCAGAAGTTTATTAAATATTTATATATTTATAAAGAGTTAGGCTATTTTGTGTACCGCTAACTGAATTTATGGGCGAAACATTTATGGTATTACCGTATCAAAGTATGATGACTTACATGCGAAGCCTAATGATCACACATTCATGTAATATGTTAGAAAATTCACTATTAATCAAGTAGCGCGTGAGGATGTGAAGAAATGTATTACATCGTAAGTTTATCAAAAAATATGAAATGTCCCACATTTAAAAGTTTACCTAACCTCACATGTATGCTTATACAGAATTATCGAGTTGTATTTTAATTTCTTTAATAACGATTAACTAGTCGTACACGCCTTATTTTTATGATAATAAAGAAATTCTAACAAATCAACCACACGTTGAAGTATGCATCTATAATTTGAATGAGGATCCTCTGTGGATCCTCTTTGTGAGGATTTCGAAAATCCTCCTCTAATCACATATGTTCATCGTACATTGTACAACCAGTTTTCATTAGGTATTGTTTATACTTAATATTAAATTTAAAATTTAAAATGATTTAAAATCACACGATATACGATAAACAAATGTGATTGGAGAATCCGAAGACGATTTTCATTCCTATAATTTTGCCTATATTAACAATTGACACTCACCGAATGAGACACGTGTGAATGTATATTGAGACCAAACCTTGATCTCCACTACTCAGAATGCATGATCGTGCACGTACCAACAATATGTAGGTTAATTGTTCCCAAAAGTTTGACCAAAACAAATATTAAAAGGAGGTTTATACCAAGACAACGAAAACGGTGGACAGATGTCACACTCTGTCCAATAAACAAACTATTCGTCCAAACTTCTACTAACATCCATATATAAAAACATATATTAGGGTACGTACCTATTCCCTCAAAGATTTTTAATAAATGGGAGAGGATTGGAGGTCTTCTTCGGACCAGATCCTCTCCTAATTTAAGGATGAGGATCCTCATGATCAAGAGATATGGGTCGTTGGATGAAAATCCAACAGTTACAAACAAGGGGATCTTTTTAAAATTATAATAATTATAACCGTTGGATTTTCATCCAACGGCCCACATCCCTTGATCATGAGGATCCTTATCCTTAGATTAGGAAAGGATCCTGATCCGTCTTCTTCCGCATTCCGAGGGAGAGGCCGGCAGCCGAAAATGTTTCTATTTATGTATTTTCTTTGGTGTTATGATCAGGAACCAGATTTATTATAATTCAAAATAATTTTGTTAGTTGGACGATAACTTATAAAGCTTGGAATCCGGACAGGGAGCTTCGACCCAGGCTTCTTTTTACTTGCAATCTTGGATTTACATTGTTCCCTAAATCAAGCTAGTTTTGTTGAGAAAACTAATTAATTTAAACCAACAATTAAGCAGAAAACAATCAAACAAAAGCCAATGAAGTAGTACTCAATTAATTGGCACTTTAATCTTCGTCGACTCTTGGAGCAGCTGGAAGACAAAAAGAAGAGCTCCAAAGTGTGAAACAAAACGGGAAACCTCCTCCTTTGAAAACAACATCAACGGGAAACGCTCATCATCTTCTTGGGAACAACTTCATACAACCTCTCTCTCTCTCTCTCTCTCTCTCTC